AAGTCAGGATAGTTTAATCAGTGTTTGTAAAAATGGCTTTATTATTTATGGCTACATAGGAAGTTGTGCACATAATTGTGTCTTTTCACTACCATTACTCTACTGTATCATGAATCCAACTAGTTGTGCCCAGCAGTAAGCTTACACTGTCAGATTACTGCAGGCCTGGGTCCTAATCAAATAATCACTAATAGGGACAGAGGGTTAAGGTCTAGTTTCTATGAGTCAATGAATGTCTTTCTCTTTTTTTTTTTTTTCTCTGTATATATGGATATGGGGAAAGACAAACATGGTATTTTTACATTAGCAACTCATTCTATGGGAAGCAGTTCTCAGTAAAATTCAATTTATAAATCATGAGATGTAAGAACGTCTTTAAATATTTCCCACAAACAAGTAATATAAAAATGTTTGAAACCACTTCTTGCTTGTATTTAAATTGGATTTTACTATATATATAAATTGGAGATACATTTACTGTACCTTCTGGTATGATGTTTCATATTTTAACTCATATTCAAAAGATGAGTTATGTTCCTTATGTTTACTTTGGTTCACTTCACTTTTTTTTAACTTTTGAGGATAGAATCAAATAGATTGAAACATTGTTTGTAGTTACTTAACACAACCTCAATATTTTCTTTGTTTCTGACTTAAAATAGGCTAATGTATACCATGCTAGCACAGCAAATGGAGACAGCAGAGCAATCAAAATTTATAAAACTTCTATTTTGGTGTTCAAAGATCGGGATAAGTATGTAAGTGGGGAATTCAGGTGAGCTCAGATTTTGTTTTTTTTCAATTGGCTTAATTTCTGTATCCTAAAAAATAAACACTAGACTAATGGATGATTCAAATAACAAATATGTTTCTTGTTCAAGATTTCGCCACGGCTATTGTAAAGGAAACCCCAGAAAAATGGTGAAAACTTGGGCAGAAAAAGAAATGAGGAACTTGATCAGGTGACTGTCTGGGGGTGTGTCCCTGCACACTGGCTGCAGATCCCGGTGTGTTCTGGGCAAAGATAGGGACGCTGGGGGCTGTTCAGTTCTGGTGGGTCTGTTGGGTGAGCAAAAGAAACCAATTTCTGGACAAATAGGACTACTTTAGCTTCTCTAAGAACCCATGACAGAACACTTCTGCTACAATTCACATTTATTCAGCAAGACTGGGTCATTTAAAAAGCCTTGGAAGCCACGTGAAAATTTAGAATTTATACTGAGGGTGATAAGGAGCTGTTACAGCATTTGACTTAATCAAGTGGTGAGAAATCGGTGTCATTTCTTGATATGTATTAGCGTTGCAGATAGTCTTTAGGTCCTAAGCTCTTTGTTTATCAGCCCAATTTTGGACACATTTGTACATTCTTTGTTTGCACTGACACATTTGTATCAGGTAAAACATCTTACCTAGCTGAGATCAGTTTCTTCAAAAATTTGAAGATTTTTTTTTTCCCTCTTTCAAATATCTTTGAACATTTTATATGCCATACATAGGAGACATGCACTAGATATTTTAGTATTGAGCAAATACTACTACTTGTTTTAAAAGTCCTGAAATTTTGTGCTCAGTTAGCTATTAGGTATGAGTCCAGCTATTTTTTTTTATTTTTTTATTTTTTTTTAAAGATTTTATTGGGGAGTTGGGGAAGGGGAACAGCTAAGCTGTTGTCCTTCAATCTTAGTTGTGGAGGGCGCAGCTAGCTCAGCTCCAAGTCCAGTCGCTATCTGGCCTCCCATGGGCAGCTTGTGGCCGCTCACCTCAAGGTGCCGTGTTCAACCTTAGTTGCGGAGGGTGTAGCCCACCATCCCATGTGGGAGTCGAAACAGCAACCTTTTTGTTAGGAGCACATGCTCTCACCAGCTGAGCCATCCTGCCACCTGTTGGCAGCTCAGTTCGGGGCACAGCTCACTGGCCCATGTGGGAATCGAACTGGCGACCCCGTTGCTCAGAGCTCAGGCTCTTAACCAACTGAGCTACTCGGCTGGCCCCCAGCTATTTTTATTAATCGTTGTTCAGGCTGATCAACTCAAAAGGTAATTGAGGACATATCTGCTGTATTTCATCAACTCCAAGATGCACATTTTTTTTCATAGTTTAACATCTCTGGAATTAGATTGGATGTTAGAGGCTATGGGATGTTGTAGCTGAATTGCTGGTGTTTTGTCCTTCTTGGTGGTGCCACTTAAAATCACTGATGTCTCAGATTTTATGAAATACAGTAATACAATTGAGAGACCCTGCTGCTGTTTCCTAACAGCAATATTAAACCTCATGTACTGTAGCTGCTGTAATTCCTTTTAGATGCTGTTTCGACTTTTCATTTGTCCTTTTATCTATTTTAATATTATAGGCTAAACACAGCAGGGATCCCATGCCCAGAGCCTATTCTGCTAAGAAGTCACGTTCTTGTCATGGGTTTCATTGGTAAAGATGACATGTGAGTATGTGGAAGGCCTAATAATTACATGCCCAGAATTGTAGTTTTAAGTGCTCTGAATTAGCCAATATATGACTGTTTCCCATTTAAATAGCTACTTTCATTTTGGGATTTTTTTATTATGACTTTCTCATTGTATTAGTGCATAGTTACTAATTTAGTTTACCTTTTCAAGTCGCGAATGCTTCAGAATAACAAAGTTCACTCTGTTTTTGAGTAATATTTTACACAGTAAGCTGGGAAGGCACCTGTTTGTTGACAGCTTTTCAGAATAGTGCATCTTTAGTGATGCACTAAATTGATGCACAGATTGTGCAGTGATGAGTTATACAAGGGAAGTGCCTGTAATGATGTAGCATAAAGCAAGAAAGCTTGTTCTGGGTCAGCCTATCTTAGTTGTCCATTTTCTTTTTATTCAAGGCCAGCGCCACTCTTGAAAAACATCCAGTTATCAGAATCCAAGGCTCGGGAATTGTACCTGCAGGTGATTCAGTACATGAGAAGAATGTACCAGGATGCCAGACTTGTCCATGCAGATCTCAGTGAATTTAACATGCTGTGAGTATGTTCTGTCCTTTAGGAATCTCTCATGAGTTGTTTTATGTCCTCTAAAAAACTAAAATCCCAATTCAAGATGTCATACTAAGTTCGGAAATTTTAAAGTTGGCTTCCACATGATCACAGTATAGGGTGTGTTTCCTGCCTTTGGTGACCTTCCTCATTGAATTGAGCACACAGATCATAAAAGGACTTTGGGAATGTTCATCCTTTTTTTAGTCAAAGTGGCCCCTTCTCCTTACACACCTTGTTCATTTTACTAATTCTTTCCCTTGCTCTGAAAAGAGAATTTTTTAAACAAAGAATGTAGGAAGTAGTGGTATCCCACAGTCCCCACGTGTGTGACGCTCAGGGTTCCATAGTGGAAACATGCACATGACTGATGGGTGTCACGGTCCCCTCACGTCTGACCCACAGGTACAGCAGTGGAGGTGTGTACATCATCGACGTGTCTCAGTCCGTGGAGCATGACCATCCACATGCCTTGGAGTTCTTGAGAAAAGACTGCGCCAACGTCAATGGTGAGTGGAAGCTGGAATTTTCTATAGGATTGTTGGTGTGTGTTCTGTACTCTGGTTAAGCTGTTGATATAAAACCTTGGCACTGAGTTGTCTGATGCAGTGATACTTAATGCCATTTTCTGGAAGATGCTGTGTTTTTATTTCTTTGTTTCTCTGTAAAATTGTTGGAGCAATCATCTTTTCCCTTGTAAAGCTCTCTATAACATTTCCTGCTGACAGATTTCTTTCTGAAGCGCGGTGTTGCTGTGATGACTGTGCGGGAGCTCTTTGAATTTGTCACAGATCCATCAATCACACAGGAGAACATGGACGCTTACCTCTCTAAGGTGAGATGGGCCAGGAAGGGGAAGAACAGAAAACAGTGGCAATCTGCCTTTATGTAGCACTCCTGAGGGACTCAATTTGCTCATAGACTGTCAAAGTTCATGTACGTTTAGTAAGAAACTTGTTAGCTTTTGGTCATTAATTCCTTTCCCTTGTTTCACAGAGGCCTTTCTGAATCACAGACTTTTTAAAATTGTAAAATATACATCGCATAAAATTTACTATTTTAACCATTTTTAAGTGTACACTTCATGGCATTAAGTACATTCACATTGTTCTGCAGCCATTACCACCCTTCATCCACAGAACTTTTTTCATCTTGTGAAACTAACTCTGTACCCATTAAATACAAACCCTCCATTTCTCCCTCCCCCCCCCCACTCTACTTTCTGTGTTTATGATGTTACCTACTGTAGGTACCTCATATAAGTGGAATCATACACTATTTGTCTTTTCCTGGCTGACTTCCTTCACTTAACACAATGTCCTCAAAGTTCATTCATGGTGTAGCATGTGTCAGACTTTCCTTCCTTGTGAAGACTGAATCATATTCCATTGTATGTATGCACCACATTCTGTTTATCCATTCATCCATTGATGGACACTTACGTTACTTCTGCCTTTTTGCTGTTGTGAATAATGCTCCTGTGCACATGGGGGCACACATCTTCAAGACCCTGCTTTCTATTGTTTTTGATGTACACCCAAAAGTGGAATTGCTGCATCATGTGGTAATTCTACTTTTAATTTCTTGAGTAATAGCCATACTGTTTTCCCTGGTGACNTGCACAGCGAAAGAAACCTTCAACAAAACAAAAAGGCAATCCCTATTTTAAGGTATTTTGCTACACTTCTCCTTTCTACGCCCCCAACTTGACTACCTGTCAGTGTTGCAGAAACACAGGGCTCTACCTAGAGTGCTCTGCTCTACTGGCTTCCACACTTGCTGCTTACCTGTGCAGTAGAGAAGGAATGGCAGTTAACTTCGCATTCGCTCACTTTTCTTTCATTCTCCTCCATTTGCAACGGTTGTAGTTTGGGTTTTAGTCCTTCAACCTTTTAAGGTTGTTTTGTTTCTATGGACCTTAGGTTTCTGGTATGACTGCAGTCATCTTATTTAAGGAAAACCCTAGAGTACAGTTAGATTTGGCCACTTGACACTGTCTTACTCCATGGAGCTAGAGGGGCTGCCTGAGCCATGGGGAGCTATTGTGAGTATCCCTTGAAATTGCACATAAATATGTGGCTGCTTCACTTTCAGGCATGGACAGGAGCAGGCTTTCATTCATGGTCTTCTGTTTGTTAAAGAGGATTTGGGGGTCCTTTTTACTCAAAACTGACTGCTCTGACTTTGAAGAAGACCCTTTCCCTGATTTACTCATCTATAGCAAGGAGCTGCAAACTCTTTTTTTTTTTTTCAGCTGAGCCATCCTGCCACCTGTTGGCAGCTCAGCGGCAGCTCAGCTCGGGCCGTGAATGGAACTGGCGACCCTGTTGCTCAGAGCTCACACTCTTGGCAAACTCTTTCTTTTAAAAGCCTGAAGAATAAATCCTTCAAGCATTGTAGCTCACAAATCTTCTCCTTCTCCTCCGCCTCCACCTACTCCACCTTCTCCACCTCTCAAAACCACTCTTAGCTTGTAGGCTGTAGAAAAACAGTCTGCGGCCTGGATTTTACTCATGAGCTAAAGGATGCTGACCCCTGGTTCAAAGTTACATATCCAGTACAGTGGCCACTGAGCACCTGAAATGTGGCTGGTCTGAATTGACATGTGCTATAAATGTAAATACAAAGTGGATTTTGAAGACTTAGGGTAAAAAAAAACAGAGGACTTAGGGTAAAAAAAAACAGAGTGTTAAATCTCTCACTGAGAACTTTTTTTTAATATTGATTACATGCTGAAATGGTAGTGCTTTAGATGTATTGGGTAAAATACAATACATTAAAACTAATTGTATCTGTTACCTTTTACTATTTGAATGTGATGACTAAAAAATGTAAAAATTACCTATCTGGTTTGCATTATATTTCTATTAGCTAATGTAGGTCTACAGTCAGTTTCTGCTTCTTTTGGACTTGGGCACCTTTGATTTCCATGACTGGATGAGCTTGTTGGTTTATTGTCTCTTTGGCTTCTTTGGCCTTTGCCCCACATTTTCTTTACTAAAAATTACAGCGAAAGAAAACACCACAATAGTGACTCTCATTTAGCCAACCAGGATAGCATGGGACAGTTAAGCTCTTCAGTTTATTGTCAGGTGCTTCGTGAGAAATATTTGGTATTATTCTTTCTGAGCTTTCTATGTTCTGCATTTCTTTTTAGGTGTTGGATCCCAGAACACGAATGATATTATTCAAGATGTTGACTAGAGGAATCATATCAGAGATAAATGGCTGCATTAGCACAGGAAAAGAAGTGAGCTTTTCTTGGGATGCCTCAGTGGTTTTTCTTGTTTGGTTTTGATGCCTGAATGTTTTCATGTTAGTTTTCTTATTTCAGATACCAAATGAAACTCAGGCAGTTAGTAACTAAATTGTGCCTTTTTTTTTTTTTNCGGCCGAGTGGCACGTTGTTTAAGAGTTGGCTTGGGACGCCAGCTCTGAGCAGCAGGGCCCCGGTTCAGATCCCACATGCGGGCCAGTGACACTGCGCCCTCTACAGTTAGGATGGTGAACAACAGCTCGACCTGGAGCTTTGCTGCGGTGAGTCGCTGGCGACGGCATAAGCTGCAGTGGGGCTGGCCGGCAGCTGGCATGTGCTTTTGTGGGCTGCTGTGAGCCACCATGAGCAGCAGTCCAATGGCTGGTGGATGCCTGCCTTACCCAGGAAGAGCGCAATGATAATACCAACATGGGCGAGTGAAGTGACGTCCTCCACAACTAGACTTAAGAGCAAAAAGAACAGCAACTTGTCTGTGCCCCTTCCGCAATTCTCCAATAAAATCTTTTAAAAAAAAAAATTTATTAATAATCCCTTACTTGGTTTAGAAATTATGCTTGCTTGATTCTTTCTATTCAAGAATGGGGAAAAATCTGCCCCTTGTTTTCCCTCATATAGAGGATTGTAATTGGATGTTAGCATTGACCCAGATTTCTGATGTGAACAAAGTGATAAAAAGGGTCAGAACATTGCTGCTGCATCCTACCTCTCTTCTCCCCACCCATACACATATGCACAAACACATTTTGAAATAGTAGCCTCTTTGACCTACAGATCCTTGATTTCAAACATAAGCACCCCTTCTATTGGGTCGTCGGGAAAGTCATGACGTATATTTCTAGGTTTTTCAATTCAAAAATGCATCATGACCTTCCCGACAACCCAATATTTACCTCAATCCCCAAAGGAGTATCACTCAACCTGAGATCTAGAAGCATTTGTGCAATTGAAGAATTTCACATTTAGGCAGGAAGGGGTCTGAGATCTGTGTCTTCATTGTCCTCTAATTTATTTATTTCGTGTGATTTCATTTTGTGATTGAAAACAAAGGTGTCGTCCAACTCAGAGAGATGAGGCTGCTTTAATTTTCAAAGACCCTCAAATAACTCAAGCAGGAAAGCCTTTCTTTTTCTCTTTTGAAATTTATTTTCAATGAGAGTATATATTTTGAGTCTTAAGGTGTCTTTATGAGACATACATTTGTAAGTTTATTCTATCATATTTCTCTTTCTGTTTTCTTTTTTTAAGCATATAAGAATAGTTGGTATATAATCTTACATTGGTTACATTAGTTTCAGGTATACAATATAGTGATTTGACATTTTTATACCTTAACGTGTGATACCCCACTAAGTCTAGTAATCATCTGTCATCATGCAAACATCACTGTATTATTGACTAAATTCCCCTTCCGCTATTCACTTATCTTCCCATCCCCTCTTTTCTGGTAACCATCCCTTTGGTCTCTGTTTCTGTGAGTCTGGCTTTGTTTTGTTTTTACATTCCATATATAAATGAAACCATATGGCAATTGTCTTTCTCTGCCTGATGTATTTCATTTAGCATAATACTCTCTAGATTCATTCATGTTGTCACAAATGGCAAGATTTCATTCTTTTTTATTGCTGCATAATATTCCGTCCACAACGGAATAACTACTATATATCGTTATCCATTCATCTATCGATGAACACCTAGCTTGCTTCCACATCTTGGCTATTGTAAATAATGCTGCAATGAACATAGGGGTGCATATATCTTTTCGAATTAGTGCTTTTGTTTTCTTTGGAATTGCCGGGTTGTATGGTGTATACATTTTTAGTTTTTTGAGGAAGCTCCATACTGTTTTCCATACGGTCTGCACCAGTTTGCAGTCCCACCAATAATGCACATGGGTTCCCTTTTCTCCACAGCCCCGCCAACACTTGTTTGTTGACATTTTGATAATAGCCATTCTGACTGGTGTGAAGTGGTATCTCATTATGGTTGTGATTTGCATTTCCCTGGTGATTAATGATATTGAGCATCTTTTCATATGTTTGTTGGCCATCTGTATGTTTTCTTTGGAGAAATGTCTTTTCATGTCTTCTGCCCATTTTTTGATCGGATTGTTGGTTTGTAATTGAGTTGTGTGAGTTGCTTATATATTTTGGATATCAACCCCTTATCAGATATGTCATTTGCAAATATATTCTCCCACTCAATGGGTTGCCTTTTTGTTTTGTTGAACGTTTCCTTCAAACTCTTTCTGCGAGGCCAGAATTACCCTGATACCAAAACCAGACAATGACACTACAAAGAAAGAAAATTGTAGGCCAATATCTCTGATGAACATAGATGCCAGAATTAAAAGGAATATACACCATGATCCAGTAGGATTTATACCTAGCATGCAAGGGTGGTTCAGCATCTGCAAAACAATTAACATGATTTGTCACGTCAACAAAACCAAGGATTAAAATTATATGATTATCTCAGTAGAAGTAGAAAAAGTATTTAACAAAATTCAACATTCATTTATGATGAAAGCTCTCGACAAAGTGTGTATAGAAGGAACTTAC